TCCATCCCTCCTTTGGAACCCTATTGCGCAGGACATTCCCCCTCCCTTCACCGCTGTCACCAGGCTGTTGGTCCTGTCCTTTCCTGTCACCTTCCCTGGTCACTACTGTGGATAAATCAGTGCCCGGCATCACTTTATACTGGAGTCTTGGCAAGACATACCAAACCAGCAAGTTTCCAGTTTTGTTATTTCCAATGGATCCTTGACATTATATATTAGCTGATCAAATATAAAATCTCTCTTTTTTTTTTTTTTTTTGTTTTTAAACTTGTGTATATACTCACACTGCTGCTTGCTTTTTTTCTTCATTTTTATCTGGCATGGATGAGTTCTGAAATTCCAACCTGTCTGGCCACATGTTCCTTCACGTACATTTCCTGAACACCTTGAAATAATTTCCATGCTTGGTTCTAGAAAACAAGGCTGTATCTTAATCTGTGCTGCCTTTTTATTGAGGGCGTAAGGTACACTAACTTTGCTATATTTCTTCTGTTGGAGAAACTACGGCACAATGTGATTTGATACAAATGATAGAGCCTGTGCCAGAACCAAGATTTAAATTCTGGAGTACCTGGGTCTGAAGAACCTTGCTCAAAACTTACATTTCTTTCTAGTTTCCCAGATGAACATCTCCAGAGAAGACAAACACGGCTGTCTAAGCCATATATTGGGCAGAAAGACCTAACAAAATATGCTGTCTGCATGGCTCCTTTAATTTCTCCACACTAAAAGAGAGCTGATGAAGTCCTCTCAAGAAAATTACTATAGAATAATCGGAGTTTGTATTTTGTATTTCATCAGCTACTTAAAAGTTCCCTTACAAGAACTACAGAGAGGCAAAAGCTATTATTTTGGTCTGTCTTGAATCTCATCTAAGTGGAGGGAGTCTGCTCTTCTAAGTCCTGAATTTTATGGGAAGGATTGTTTTTTTCCCCACCAAACTTCTTAATGTTCCTTGGACTACAAGCTAAATTGGAACCAGGCTGCCAGATGTACGAAGTTAATACCACCAGCAGATCTCCCATTAGACCTCACAGCATTTACCCACTTTTGTGACAAAATATTTTCGTGATACTTTAACATTCTCAACGTTTTATGGGTTAACCAACTTTGAGACAATGATGAATATTCACTGAAATGTCAACATCTCTGTATTCTCTGAACGAACTCTGAAAATCCCTGAAATCCAAACAGATCTAAATTATACTGCAGCTCAAACCTAAGAGAACAATCTGTGAAGTGCCAGCTATAGTCCTCAAGAGATTGTAAAGGATTCTTATTGAGTACCAGACCCCAAAATATTTTTGTCTTAAAATTAAGGAAATTAACACATTTCAGAAAAACAAAATATAACATTCTTGTGAAAGGAAACGTTACTATATTCCACACTAATTGTCCAGAACACTGAAGCTCCGTGATGCTTCCAGAAGCCCCCATTTTGAATGTCCAGGCTTAATGGTGCTTGCTATTTGAGCACTACTTCTTAATTATTTTTTCTAGAACTAATGAAGCTAAATGACTAGCCAGGCTCCATTCTGGAGACCGCTATTTCCCTTGACTTTACAGGAAATCCAATTGTTGCTAAGCTAAATAATACCATCAATTGTAAGTGAAATATGTCCTTAGTTTTTATGCAGTCAGCTCTACTCAAGGGGGTAAAAGAAGCGCTGGTTCCTAAGCATGGTTTACCTCAGCTTCTGTCCCTACAGATATTTTGAAATACTGGCTTTTGTTGCTGTTGTGAAATTCACAATCCCATTTCCTTAGCGTACTTTCACAAGCAACAAGGGGACCAATATTGGTGTGGTTCTTCAGGAACTGACAGCAGCTGTGTTAGATTAAACAAAAGCTCTCTGCAATACTTATCTCTAACTTGGCATCAGCTTTTCTCTTACTGCATCTGAAGTCCTGTTTCCAGCAGCAGTTGAATTTACAGGCAGGAAGCATTTAGATTTGTACAAAAAGATCACGTTATACAACTTGTTTCAGAAGGACCGATTTGCTAAGTGTTTTAACTCACTTTTTGTTGATGAATATTTAATGCGTTAAGTACAAGGAATATTCAATATTCACCAGACCAAAACTAATCTTAGGAAAAAATTGGAGGGAACTTAATTTACTATAAAACTCCTTAATTCGGTTTGCTTTCTTCTGCATAGAGATTCTTTGTGCACTACATGACAGCTCCTACTGGGAAAAGTATAACCACATTATTATATGGGCTAATTTAGAAAATGTCCTGATGAAAACATTGAAAGTAAACTGTTTTCTGAATAGTAAAGGAGGAAACAATGGAAATGTAATATTACACATTTCCTAGAGAGTACATTACACAATGTACACAAGCTTGTAATGCACTGGACTTGTGTTCATTTAGCTCCATACCTGAGAGGTAGTTTATTTGTACATGGGAGAACATTTACATTGGATAAATGGAAATTGGGCATATTAGTCCACACGTGTGAGGTTTATGTCAACTATGAGTTTCTTAGTACATTATAAGAGTCTAATTTCTTAAGTTCTTCATAGCTCTGATTTCAGTAACATTTTGTGGAATAAAGTTACATATTATGTATATTGTAGGAAAAAGCAAGACCCCTAAAATAAATTCAGTATTATTTGTTGCCTTTCAGTTTCATGGACTATTTATTATTTGGCATGTAAATAGGAGTGTCTGAATTAATTTTGTTTGTCAACTACATTGCAGACGTCCATTGTATTTCCTCTAAAATAGTGATATTGTCCCCAATGAGGAGAGCCAAACTGGCCCAAACCAAATTTGTGCCAATAAAGAGAATAGTAACTCCAATGCACTCAGCATGACTCTCAGTTCACACTTCATTCCCATTCTTACCAAAATGTAATATTTTATTAGATTGTTAGAAAATAAATCTATGTTATTAGATTTGTTAGATTTTGGTTTGTGTACAGTAAAAGTTTCCATTTTACTGTAAAGAATGACTTATACTGTCCTACATGCCTGGGTCTTTTCTTGATTGGGTAAGAACATTTTCAACTCATGTTGAAAATAAGAACACGTAAACATATTCTGGATTTTTCCTCCAACGTATACGACCCTGAATTTCCTTGAAGGTACTGCCCCAGTGCTGTCCATTTAGGTAGCTATAAGTTCCTCAGTCTGAACAATCATTATCCTTCATTGAATTAAATTACTTTTTTCAAAATGTATTTTGTTGGCAAGTTTCAGGACTCACGTTCATCATCTACATTATTTGATCTGTATACCATCCCTTGAAAGCTGTTTCCTTTAAAACACGTAGATTTAACATCCTCTACATTCCACTCAGAAAAAACACACAATTTCAGATGAGATTGTCAGCAATTCAGAAGCCCATTGCCAAGATGCTTCTTACCTATAACTCACTGGTTTTCAGATGTGCCACTCTGTTTATGTATCATTCTTTTTGACTTTTCAGTCTCTGACACTGCTTCACCTCCAGTACTCAAGACGACTGAGATCCAAACTGCCTGACATTTCCAAGTCTGAGTACCAGTCCAAGTGACCAGATGCAAGATGTGCTACCTTAGCTATGGTGCCCCTGGGGAAAATGAAGCATGCACTCATGTCACTGTCGGTGGAGAAGGGAGAGTTTATGGCCAGAGTAGACTGCTTCCATATATAGTTTCTAGATGTCTTTGACCCAAACTAAAAGCTGCAAGTAATGTTTAGTTTTTATTACTTGAAGAACCTTCCTTTGATTCCTAGTGAAGCAACCAAACGCAGCCCTCAGGGGTTCAGTTTTACAGGGACTGACGGTAGCTACCCCCTGTTCTTCTATAGCAAGTCTGAACAATTTCATTCAACCAAAGTCATTCATGTTCTACACGGTGCACATTCACCTTGGTTTTTCAAACTTCCTACAAGTCCACTTTACTTGACCCTTCTTCTCCAGGTCAGACGTTGTGAGATTTCAGCTTCCCTCAAGAAGCAGCCCGGAGCAGAAAGAGGGAGCAGCCTTACCAGATGGAAGATACTGCCTGTCTGTTGCACAAGATCGACGATCTCCCACTGGTGGAGCTGGGATTTCTGAGAACGGTATCAAATCCAGTACCCAACTACTTTATTTCCTCACTGGTTTGTAAGATCCTCAACAGAAAAACTAATGCAGATATTAAATCGCCAAAGCCACAAACAAATCCTAATGAATATTGAAATCCTAGACCTACATAAAAGGTAATATCCTAGCTTTGTACTTCCCATTCATTAAACACAAAATCTTGTGGAGAAAGTCTGAACAAGTCGCTAAGAGCTATAATTTAAAACCACCCTTTTCTATATGACTCACCTCACCTAAACCTTTTTCCTGGCTTAAAAGTATGCAGTTTTCATTTCTTCGTAAATAAAACTCAGAACTTCAGCTAAAATAATTTGCAAGGAACCCATTTGCAGTTATTCTGTACAGTCACACTCTTTGGAAACATCCTGGCCGCTTCAGTAACTCCGAAAAGGTCCAACCTGTTTAGCACGTGTAGAGCTAACTACTGCTGCAACATTGCACACATGTGATTTCTCATAGGACTGCATGAAGCTTTCTTTGAAAGTCTTCTAAAATCACTGGGTTTGCCAAGGCTGGTCTCATCAGTAACCTCGACCAGGCTTTTATAGAGCAGACAGCTACAAGGGCTCTCAAAGAGAGCGCAATCTGGGAGGGGAGGGGGGGTGTCTGTGTGTGTCATCATTTAGCTGCTGTAATGTTGAGGCACATTTATGCTAGGTTTACATGCCAAGGAGACAGCAAATGCAGTTTGGCAAGTTTGACTTACCTTCAGTGATTTTTTTTAAAAAAAAAAAAAAAACCACGTCTAGTTCAAAGATGACAAAAACACTTATCTGAAATTAACTGTAAGTAGCAAGGCATCTTTACTGCAGCCTGAAAAGCTGACAAAAAATTAGATTTTAGATATGTATTGAATCTAACTGGCAAGCAGCTGCTTGGGAATGCTAAAAATAACGACACGTAAATACAATTAACATTGTAGCATGTTCTCCATGTGGCTAGACTTATAAAATAAACCTGCTTTTACAAATATTTTTATCAAATCAGACACTTTGTCAGCTCAAAGACAGTTCCCATGTCTAACCTATACTACCCATATTTCAAGTACAAACAGCTCTTTAGCAAAATCTTTACAAACAAATAAATTGTGGGTTTATAGCTTTAAAAACACAAAAGAGTGTTCCATCAAATAAAAAGGATTAGTTAGGCAGAAAAGAAAAATAACTCAGAAAGTTGAACAAATAAAAAGGTTGTGGGAACATCTGGGATAAACCTAGATAAATAAACCTAGATGCAGAATTATTTTTCATGTATACTTTAATAAATATTAATTTCTTAGAGCAGAAGAGCACTTGCATCAATGGAATTTGGTAAGTTATTCTACATTAGCTAGTTTACAAATTAATGCCTAAGTATCACAATAATAAAGGGCTCTATGATTCTACTGACAGAATATATTTTTTTTTTTTTCAATATTAGCTCAGGAGAAGAATTTTAGTAAAATACTGGCTTAATGTTAAGAGAGATGAGTAAGAACTTTTGCTTTTCCTCTCTGGTTTCCAGTCATGCTAATCATAACCTACAAGAATGATATAAAAGACTTCTTCCATTTTTAAAAACCTAATCCGAGTGCCTGCTATACTGGATGCTGCAATTAATTTACTGGATTAAACATACCAGTTTGAAGCTCTTCAAGGAGTTCATAGTGTTGGGCGTTCAGTGTCCATGGCTGCCAGAACAGTTGTAAACTCTGGTTATTACCCCTTTGAACTCCTATGACAAGAAAATAAATGATGATAGAAAAAGTTCACTACTAAGGTATCACAGATTGAAAATAGAAAGTCTTTTTTTTGTTTGGGTTTGGTTTTTTGTTTTAGCAGCACACAGCCTCACAGAAAGAAATTAGTTTGCACAGTGTAAGGATTGCCATGAAAACGCATTCATTCTGTAATTAAAAAGCAATACTGCACGCAACTAAGCTTTGTTCCTGCTTCGGCAATTAATTATTGAACATGATAATTAGGCGCATTGAATGCAACTTGCGTAAACGAACATACGCTGAGTGTTAACCAAAAGAAGAAAAAAAAAAAAAAAAGCCCTTCTCCTCTGCCGCCGAGAGCGGGGGGGGC